AATATAATACAATTATATATAGATGTATTAAATAATATTATAATTATTGGTTTACGATATCTTCGAAATATTTATGACAGTATTATCAAGTTTTTTCAATACTTTTCAAGGAATTATGATATAAAGATAGTAAATGAATATCGCGCAATTCGAATAATAATCCCGTGCCTTCTGGCCTACTTTAATATTTCAGGCAACATCGCTTCTTTCGCGTGTATAGCGAATAGAAACGGCGCGTTGGAGATTGTCCAGGATTCAACCGGCTCGCTTTAGATTTGGCTACTTGGTCGCGACTTCAGTGAGCTATAATTCTCGACGATCGATACCTGATACGCGACCTCCGATGAAATTTCCGCCTAAAAATAGTCTCTTCATAGATCAAGAAATCCACGTACCAGGCATCGATATCGACACATTTGCATATTGTTAGTAATATTGCGTTTTTAAACTAAAAAATAATTTCCAAACTAAAACTGTGGGAAACAAAATTTTTGTTTTTTATTTTTGTTTATTAATCCGGATTTTTAAAAATTTTAACAAGAATAAAAAAAATCTATCTTAATATGTATAGGGTATATTTTTTTCTAGATTCTTCCTATCGTAACAACAACCAGAAATGTATTCTAATAATACCATGATTTACGTGTATAACATAAATCATTATATAAATTATCGATAACATTTTAAATATCTCCTAAAATCCCCTCTAATTAAAATATTCCATTAAATTTTCTAATTAAAAAACAGACCTGAACAAACAGAAGGAATCCGCAATTGGAGAAAAACAGAAAAGAATTATCTAGGACATCTTGTATATTTCGATTTATTACACGCAATAATGAGCAAGAGAAAATAACTCGCAAGTAATCAAAACTTAAAATCATGAAAATATAATTTGCACCGTATATTTTCAGTATCTAGCGCGTTTTACAATATATAAATACCATATTCTTTTGAATTATACAGAAGAAGAATAAATATTTTACAGAAAGAGTATCAAACTATCTGTAAAAGAATTAATTGCTCCAATTTCATAATATAATAAGCACCTTATAATAAAAAATACAACATTTATAATGTCTTAGAGAGTGGAGAATTAGGTTTTAATTATCTTTAAAAATCGATGAATGAATTATTATTTCGCGTGGCAAGATCTGTCAATGGGTTTATTGAGAAAAATAGGAAATAAGGGTTTGATTATCTTGCACTCAATGTCCTGCATTTCATTTGACCCCGTGGCAGACAGTAAATAGTTTTCACATCATCGTGACTAAACGTTCAGGTTGATCAGTTTCAAGGGGCGACCGAGCAGTTGGCCGGAAGTTTTCACAGGGTGCACTTTTGGCGGAAGTGCCCGCTATATAGACATCCTAAATCAATTTACCTCTGTGAAGGTGGCATCTCATTTATAGAATTTCGATGTTATTTAAAAGATTTTAGCTTTTTTCTTCGAATATTAAAAAGTTAACTTCTGAGATTATTGGACCGAGTTTTCGATAAGCTCCAAAAAGAGTTTCAAAATAAGAGAACAAAATAAAAAAATAACGAAAATATAAAGTACCAACTTCACATTCTAATTATATGAATTTTTTTAAATACTTGATACATATAAATATAATATCTCACAAAAATAAAATTGGCAAAAATTTTTATCTTGCAGAAACATGCATATTGCCTTTTAATAATTCTTCGATTTAATAATTCTCCCTTGTTTTCAAAACTATCTTCTGTTAAAATTTATTGTTTCGATGAGTGTTTACCATGTGTATGTGAAATAATATATTCACCCCTGCATATATACAGCTGCAGCAATGCAGGATTTCCGTGGGGAATGCGAGCAGAGGGATCACACGACCTCACCTGAATTTATAAACTGTCACGAATATTTATTGAGAATTATCTTCTCTAGAATTAGTAGTTTATTTTCAGAATTTTCGTACAATTGATAAAGTTTCGGCTCTTCTCCAAATAGTTCTAATGAAAAGTTAGAGAATCGCGTGACGTTGTGTAAAATCATGAAATTTTGCACATTTGCAATTATTATACTAGTGTCAGTTTTACATAATACTCTTTGAACACATTAATTTTCAATCTCTTATTTCCTATTCTTCTCCGAGATTTTCGATTATCCTCAAAGAGATCGCATTAATCTTCCTCACAAGATTGATTTATTTAATTTATGAAAATCTTATTAATAAAAAGATCTTTTTTAATATTTCAATGTTGCTCGCTTTAATGCAAATTAAGAGCAAAATTAATTTAGATACTAGCATAAAAGCAATAAACGGGAAGGTATAAATATACTTAGACCTACAGCGTTTTAATTTATAATCTCGGGTTTTGCAGTGATTTCTTTTTCTTCTCGGGTAATAATCGCAGGAAAGGAAGCGCCGCCTATTATAAAAGGGCGCTTATAAGCCATCTCCGGCGTCGAGACCCTTTATCGTACCTCGTGCAATGAGAGAGATATGATGGAGAGAATATTTATTCCGCGGTTACTCTCCCGTTCCGCGCTGCGAGCGAGCACAGCAATAAAAGGAGGAGGAGGTTCATTCCCCTAATTGGAACGCGCGTCGGTTTCGCTTCCGAGGTAACAGGTGGTGCCTATACGTGCCACAATATTCGGTGCAAGTTCGGAAAAAAATCTTCTGCCATGTCACTTTCCCTAAACTGTGTGTGATACTCGTATATACGCGTCCGCTTGTTGATCCCGCAAAATTTTCATTCTATAAGAAAACCATTCGCTTCGTGTTATCTAATTGCAAAATCATGATGAGATTAGCAATGTTTCGTTATCACAAATAATGTCTATGTTTATTAAATCGTAAGTGATACAGAGCGAAGCGATATTTTGAACGCGAATAATGGAACGAGATATTCGCAATTGAAATGATGAGTAGTTCAAACTTAAGCCAAACCTATTGTGCAGTTTCGTGTTGCGTAATACTATAATTAAACTGGTAATATCATCAACGAGATTTCCCGGTAATCATTTCACAATGTATAGTGCATAGGAATAATCTGATTAAATGTCATATGCCGTGTGAAATGAGCAATCATATGATTCTATCTCGTACAGACAGAAAAATTCTTTCATTACCGGCGATTATCGAAACGTAACGATTAATATGATAAAATCTGAGTAAATTGTGAAAATTTGACGCAGAAGAGAATAATTATCTTTTCGTATTCCAATCCAATCGCAGCAATGAATAGATAATACATACACATTTATTATAAGAGGAATTCTTTTATCTCGTCAGAAAAAATATTTTTTTTGACGAAAAATTATTTATTGCTTCACGATGCTATAATTATATTTAATTTCAATATAATCTATAAAAAATAATATATAATAATTTTGCTACATTTTTAGAATTGTAAACTCTGTCATTAATTGGACATTTTTCTTATGGAAAGATAAACTCCAAATCGATTAAAACTCGTAAAAATATATACGGTGGTCCATATATGCAAATGTGTGCGCGTATGTAGGTCTTACACAAAGCCTTCGATCAAAGCGCACGTTGCGCCTTTGACATATCCGTAATCACCGCCATTGTGCACGCTGCCAATGAACACCATCGTTCATGGGCGTCGATTTGTTTTATCGATGGACAATGAGTTAGAAACCGTCGGTGAACCCTGACCTTTGTCAAAATTCTATTTCACGCTCGGATGATACGTGCAGATCGCAAATTCGCGTTTTTACTCGCCGACATTCAGACATCGCGGTAAATTAATTATCGTTAATTGTGGTAGATGCATCCATATAAATGGCCGAGCTATATCGCTTTTAATTCTGAAATTAATGTAAATAATAATCAAAAAATCTGCAAACGATGGGATCGCGTCGTAAATTTCGTCGTCGTATTCGACGTCCCACTTTTACAGAATATACCTCTCAGAATATATTTTAGAGTAGTTGAAATTCTTTGAAAGTTTGCCCAACAATTGGTCGATTATACCAGTATGT